GCATGGAGCTGGCAATGCCGGAGCACGAGAAGAAGGTTGGGGGACAAACCATGAGCAAAGCAAATTCCCCTCCGCAAAGGGACGGTCCCCACTGAGCCCCCACGTGCAGGCTGCTTGGGGTACGAGCATCCCCTCCCCGCACCCATCCCAAAGCTCCCGACTAAAACTGCTGCTTGGGTTGAGATCCCAGCCTGGGTCAGAACAACATGCCCGAACATGCACGGGCAGCACCTTTGCACGGTTTTGCGCTCTCAGAGGAAGATACCACACATCGGCTCACTGTGTTTCAGAAAAAGATGCCGTTAAAAAACAGAAGAAATACTCACAGACAAAGGCAATTGGCCCCACGCCTCATATGGGGTTAGAGAAGCTTGCTCAAAACATCTCGCACTTTTTGCAAAGCAGTGGGCGTGTGAAAAAAAAAAAGAAAAAAAAAAGAAAAAAAAAGTGGAGGCATGCGACTCAAAAGTCTCTTGTGAAAACCCAGTGGTCTGCTCACAGATATGGTTTCCTAAATAGCTGGCATGAAATTAAGTGACACATGATTATAAGACAATTTGAAAGCTTCCTGCAAAGTTGCTGTTTTCCTCTGTCGCTGGAATCGCAGCTTAGGGCCGGAGCACAAAGGGAAGACAGCAAGATCCAGAGAAGGGGTTGGCAAATATCCCTTATTAGAGGCTAAGCCTGCTCACCTGCTGCCCTTGCTTGGAAAAAGCATAATAGACAGTTAAGTTGGAAAAGAAGTGAAATCTGGCAAGGGATTTGCTTCCAAAAGCTGCTGCTCTGACTCTGTGCAATCACAGGCAGAAGAGAACGCAGCTCAAACGACACGTGGGGAAGGGAAGCGACCAAACGGGAACCTCACAAAATCCTTTTTCGATACTCACTTCAGGTCAAAGTTTAAGAGAAAGAACGAGGCTCTGCTTAACAGATCCAAGCTTCAAAACCCCTGACACCACAAAGAGGGCGTCCTCTCGAAACCCTCCTGTCTCGCGAGCTCTGCACAAACACCCTTCCAAAATTTCTGCCCAGATCCACTCTGTTCTTCTACCTGTCGACCTACCGTAAAACCATCCTCCCTCCCCCCTGCGGCCGAGGGAGGGACGTGCTTCCCAAACCAAGGGCTTTTTTACCAAAACCGCCTCGCCACTGGCCAACAAAGCCACGTCTCTACAGAAAACGAGCAGCACCGTCAAACCGTCCTTCCCCAAATCTCTACCACAAGCTGGCAAACCCTCTCCGGCTGCCAGGAAAGGCCGATGTGCCCGTGGCTCCTTTGGAGTCGGAGGAATAGCTGCTGGTTAACAAGGGGTAAGCCCAAGCAGGTGAAAGACACCCCCCCGCCAAAAGATGCACGCTGGCTTAGGGGAGAGCAGCTCGCAGCATGCCCACCGCTCACACTCTGATCAGCAAGGGCCGATTCGAGAACCGGGCGCAGGGGAGCGTGCCGCGGGCTCTGCAGTATGTGGTGGTGGTTGCGGGGGGGGGTGTCTTTCTGCCTACAGGTAATAAATCACCCCCTTTTTTCCTTTAAAATTCAGGCGGTGCAGATTTCCCAAAGACCTGCCGATCACTAGAGACCAGAGATAATTCCTCTGCTCTGAGTCAGAGGGATTCCCAGAGGGATTTCTGCTGCACAGGCAGCCCCGGCTGACAAACTCCGGCTGCACCGCGTCCAAACGACCGAAGATTTGGGAAAAGCCGCAACAAGGGGCAGCGCTTCTCCCGCCTGCCTTCCGCTTCTCACGAAGAGGTTACATTTTTTGCTTGGGGCTCCACTGGAATAAAACTGAATTCCTGAAGGAAAAGGTGCTGCGATTGGTATAACGCACCACAGTCCTTTAGAGCTAGTCCTGAATATTTTTGAATGTCACCTTCAAAGAGGGACGGATCCCGGCCAGTTGCACCACGCCTTCCACAGAACTGGTTGCTAAAGCAGCAGATGCAGGTAGGCAAGAAGTTGAAGAAAACAACAGCAAACTCTGGGAAGAAGACAGTTGTGAAAAGAAAAACCAAACCAACCCTATCTTCAACGAAAGGACCTGCTTTTGAAAGCACAGGCTAACTTAGAATTGTACCAAAGTCAACGACCCAAGTTGCCTGGGACTGTTTTTTGTTTCTTTTAATCCCTCCACAGAGGTTTGCCTCTCGTGGAGGAGGTCAGCTGTACAGCACAACACTTCATATATGCACTAGCAGTTAGATTGGTTTCTAAATTAAAAAAGATGGACTTTTTATATATTGAACATAAATAAAAAAATTACAAAATGGTCACCTTTCTTACAGAATGGATGCAAACTGGATTATGAACGTGCCTCCAGGTGAAGTTGGTTTCTCCCCTGCCCCCACCCCACCCCAATAATAAATAAATAAAATTCATTAAGTTTTGGATCCTTTAGTGGTGCAGATTGGGTGCCCGGACCGTTACTGGGCTTTCTTCCCTGTGCCATTCTTGTCCGCAGAGTTTGTTGAGGTTACCAAGTTCACCGGCCCGTCTGAGTGCATTGAATCTTTGCGTGGCGGCATGCGTTCGTTAATGCGATCCAGCCCCCTGGCTTCTTCGAAGCTGCGGATCTTGTGCTGCGGTGAAAACCCACGAATGGCTGCGGAGAGAAGGGCCGAGATAAAAGAGTTAGTCTGAGCTGCGGATTCCCGGGTAGGAGCCCTTTAGCACACGCCAGACACGTACAGGACAGAGTCAGGGCAACAGAAAGCACGTGTCTGGCTACGGGAACCGCGAGATGGGTCCGTAGGTGATTTTTGGCATCGCCAGCTCATGCGGGTACCACAGCGCGGCTGGGAAGTTGAACTGCACTAGGTCACAGCAGCAAAGTCAAGGATCCAGACCCGCAGCGACTTGCTCTGCTCCCTAATGGTTTCTCTTTTAATACAATTTAGTAGCGGGAACTTGAAGACCAGACAAGTGCTCCGTGTCCCCAAACAGTGAAATCTCAGGAAACTTTCAAAGCTGAAAAACAGGATGCTAAAAAAACCCAAAACAAACCACGAACAAAAAAGGCAAAACCAAAACAACACAAGGAAGACACCACCACAAGGTTTTAACTCCAACACAAACCACACACCGCAACACCAGGAGAGGGAAACAGCTAGTCCTTGGATCACAAACGCGAGGCTTCTTGCATGACCAGGAGACACACAGGCAGTCTCAGGAGTGATGAAATCCCACCAAGGGCAGGCGTATCTCTGTTTCATCACTACGAGGCTGAGGACATCACCCTTGCAGTGATGATACGGACCAAATGTTTAACTTCTTTGTATTACAGATAATTTAAGGGGAAAAAAAGGGGTTGTGCCAAATCTTTTTACAAGGACTTGGCTGTGTTACAAACAAACTTCCCTTGATAATCAAAAAGTTCTCTACACAAATGTATGGCCCCATTCATCAGTAGCTGAATGGAGCTATCGAGGAGAAAACCTCCCCAGACAGTAACCTCACGAATATGTCATTTCCACACGAACTACAGGGAGAAAAAGCACTCCTCCACACTGGGACCACCTCAGCCCACCTGTGGGGAAGGCGAGGATTCCATCAGAGACGCGCAATCCGCTGTTTCCTAGATGATTTTGACCAAATGCGCTGGCAGCCTTCACCCGATCGAGTTAACCCAAGGGATGAACTCAGCCACGAGGCATCCGAGATCAGATTGCAGGACCCCAACAGCATAGTCTTGAGACACCAGAGCACAAACCGCTCCGGAGGCAGGGTGCTCTCGGAACAAAGGTATTGCACTAAGCAATAGCCTCATTAAGGCTAAAATAGACTTGAACCAGCACACTGTGTATTTTTTGCTTCCCAGCAGGGGCCCATCCTCCCCCAGTTCTGGTGATGCAAGAGTAAAAAGCTTCCATAAGGCTGATAAAGCTCTTTAAAATTAGCGCACGCACACACAGAGATGATTTGAGTCTCTCGCCGGATTCTAGCCATACCTTCCCGTGCCTCTACCGCTTCTACTGTGGCTGCAATACAGAAGAACAGTGGCATGCAAAAATGAAGACAGAAAAAAAAGAGTGACAGTGAGTGATCTAACATCATCGCTGCGAACGCAGAGCCCACAGCCTCCCAGCCCCAGTGGAGACGACCATAATCAAAACCAACCGGCAAGAGGGAAAAAAAAAAGGTGACAGGAGCTTGAGAGGAAGGCTGAAAGGGGACTCCCTCAGGTTTAGCATCTGCTGAGCACTGACACGGGGGAGTCTCCTTTCCTCACATTTGCTGGACTCATCACACAGATAAATCCGATGGAAGAAACAGAGAAGTAGAGAGATGGCTTTCTGCTGCATGCTCTGGAGGGCTCAGGGGTGCAGGCATCCCACCGCAAGGACGGTGATAGTCTCGGACTAAGCCGTGGGTCTCCACCTGCATTTATAGTCCCAGTCTGGGGGCTCTAGGGCAGCCTGGCCACCTTCAGAAGGTAAATTATGTGGAATCCACCCCAGAGCAAAGCTCTATCCACCAGAGCCACGTAAGGGAAGTGACCCCAAGGGACGTGATGACATTTTGGAGCAGTGGGGAAGAGAAGGGCAGTTCGATCTCCAGGGGAGGGCAGGCAGCAGCAGATACCAGGCTGCTCCGCTCCCAACGCCTTGAATTATAATAACCCCCCCCTCCCAAAACCATAGAGGCTGATGCTTTAAATCCAGTTTGGCTTCAGCTCCACCTCCTAAAAGCGTTACCAAGCAACAAGGCACCATAAAGCCAAGCAACATCCCCCTTCCTAAATCTGCTGCAGCAGCTGTCCAAGTTTTGGTAGTCCCTACCTCAACATCTGGGAGGACGCACTTCCCTCGAACAGATCCCCCAACTTTTAGCCTCAAAACACCATTTTTTTTTTCTTTTGCTTTGGACACAATACAATGGTCCATGAGAGGCCATGGAGAAAGAATGGGAGTTGTGGCTGAACATCTTTGCTCCAGATTCAGTGACTTTACTGAAAGCCAATTTTACTAAGCTGTGCTGTGAAAGGTTGGCAGGAAGCTCAGGGAGGGAAGGGGCAGCCCTATGTCTCCTCTTTTTGGGGTGCAGAGGCACCACAAAAGGGGGGCAGCCCCCTCCTCTCCCGCCTTGAGCAGACAGGCTGCCCGCACGG